GGCTTTCAATCGCTGGTTTAACCAATATGATGATTCTTTTCAATCTGTGGCTAATTCACAATGTAAGTCGATCCGAGGTGCTTGGAGAAATGATCGTTGTTGTGTACTGTTCGTAGTCAATCCACATATTCCACCTTGCCCTCAACGGTTACAATACGAATATGTTGAACAGATAACGATTCCAGGATACCTTAGCTCTGACGCTACGCCTGTAAGAAAATAATAATAACTTACACGATCTTTCGTTATAAATTTATTAAATTTTTCATTCTACAGAAAATAAAACATAGAGTTACTAATTATTTTTAATTTCGCTCCATTATTCTTTTTCTTTCGTATCATAAGTCTTACTCGTAGACAGAATGTGAATGTGGGTGTGAAAGTATAATTAATATGAAATATATACATTGTTATTGTCGAAATTTAAGGAGATTTAACATAAAGAACGACTTATTCGTCATTACATTCTGATTCAAACACAATCATGACCAATAGAAAAAGTTTTTGAATTAATTTTCTTAGAAAAAATTCTTTTCATCAGAATAATAATTTCAAAAATCTAACCTTTAGAGAAAATTTGATGACAATCGATTTGTTTTACAGGAGGAAATATAAAAATCATACAGAAATAGGGCGTACAATAAGTACATAGAAGTAAACTAGTTCTTAGTTTTTAAGTGGAAATATAAGTGCAAACAGATAACTGCGTATATTGTAGTATTACTTGTTATGTAAGTAGAAGCAAAATAATATCTACCCATCATTTTCAGGAAAGATATAATAGTTTCCACCTGTTTCAATTCAAAAGAGAAATTTTCGTTATTCAGTGATGGATACTTTACCAACAAAAATAGAATAATGTTCACATGATGAATAAATACAATGAAATTTAGATAGAAAAATAAATGATTGTATTCTCTATGAATGTCAATATATAATTCTTAGATATCGAAATCTAAATATTATGTAATAAATAGTGAAAAGAGAAAATTTTGTTATCAAGCTGAACTAATTATTCCACCTGCAATTCTAAATAACAAAAAGTAGATATTTAATATTTGTTAAATGAATATTCGCAAAATAAATCCAATTTAGCTGAAAAATATTGTCGCGACCTATTACGACAAGAAGAAATTTCTCATGCAGATTCACTTGGATGTGATGACGATGACGAAGTATTTCTTGAGGATGTGGGTATGAGTTTATCATATATATTCCACACACACACACATCCTGAAGATGGTTTTATATCATAATTATAAATAAATACATTGTTTATAAATAAATTCTCTTATTAAAATTATGATTATTCATAGTTATTGAAACTAAAAAGCTTTTGAATTGTTGTTATTAAGATCAACAATAGATGAATATTATGGTTATTATAAAAAAGTAGATGGTGTTGTTATTAACGCTTTGACTGCAGGGTTTTTTAAGAAATTTAAAATATCTTTTTTGCTACATATTTGAGCGTAGATTAAACTATAGTTCTAGTTTATTAAACGCAAGAAAATATATATGAAATGACGCCTCCATATATGTTTATATTTACATGAAACAAACTTATTTTATTCTTTTAGAGACAGATATGTTTCTTATAAGGATTTTAAGCTTTAGCAAATTTTTTCGGCAATTCATTCATTTTACGTTTATTATCCATTATCGATTATCAGAATAAAATAATTTATTTACAACTCGAATCATATCAAAAAAGTCTCTGATAAATGCTTTCATGAAAGCTATATGTTTCAAAAATAACAGAAAATCACTGTCGGCTCCATATGGGGCCATCCGCAGCCAAAGAGTTAAGATCCAAAAATAACTGGAGCGTAGTTATTAAGGTCAAATTTTTGTCCGATGATGATTTATGACTTTTTCTGGAATTTTCCTCTTTCCTAGGTTATAGTTTAATTCTCATGAACCTTTGTTTTTTTTCTGAGTAAAATCTATGAAAACTGTTTTTTTTCGAAATATTCATTCTTACGCCAATTTTTTTAGGGTGTTGTCATTACAGAAATGGCCCCTAGAAACAATAGCAGAGGTCCTTTATCTTACACCACTGGTTTCTCCTCTATTAGATTTCACATCAATTGAAAGAGGAGAATCTAAGGGTCATAGTTATGAAAAAATATTTCTAATTGAGCATATAATAGTGGAGAACGAGATCATTTGAGATAAACTAAAAATTTAGTATTGTTATTAGGGAGTTCGACTGTACTATGAAATGTGTATAGATATCAGTGCACGAACATCAGTAAATTGAATTTAATCAAGAATTAAGTAAGCAATGTTACTAGTCGATAAAATCATGTCCATTCAATATTTTCTATTATCAATACTAAGTAATAAAAAAAGGACAATATATTTAGTTTTGTGTAATATTCAAGCGAAAATAATCTGGTGCTTTTGGAACAGTTTTGAATAATGGCGCTAACAGTAGAGTACATACTGTTAATACCGTTGTCAATATAAGATATATATAAAAAAGGCAACGATCAATAACTAATGCTACATTTTGCCAATCACGTATAATAATATCTTCCTCACGTGTGTCAGTTGGACGAAGAATAACACGATTAAGTTCATTCAGAAGACGTTTACATTCTTGTAATGATTGCGTTGTTGATTGTGCATTTGATAGCAAAGGTGCTGCAAGTTCACTTCGTGCATAAGAATTAGGATTTGTCCTATCTAAATGATTTTCACTTAATGTTGATGTATATAACCTATGTGTTGCACCTTGTGAAGAATTTGCTAAAAGATCATTTTCATTGAGAAAAACAGCATTATAGATTGTTGTTGAACGTGGTGGTGATGTTGCAGATGATGAACATTGAGTATTTTTTTGATCATTATTTGTTATTGCACGATGCAATTTCACACGTAAAAATGGTGCAAGATGAAGAAAAAGTATGCGACTTAATCGATGTGGTACTGGTTTTAACGACGAACCATATAAATGAACATTAAGTACGATAACAGCTAATAAAACTGATAGACTAGTTAAACCCATAACTAATGTAAAATAAATACCTTTGAAAGAAAAATGAAAACAAAAAATGTTTTCTATTCAATAGTAAATAAATTTACCAATTAAAGGAATAAATTCACTTGTAGCTGGCATTGATTCAGCAATTAATAACATAAAAACAGAAAATGAAAGAAGTACAGTTAAACCTAATGAAACTTTTTCTCCGGATTCCGTTGGTAAATAAAATGTTAAACATGTTAAACAAGATAACATTATACATGGAATTATAACATTATATGTATAATATAATGTTCGACGACGTATATGAAAATAAAATTTTAAATCATAATATGCTTCATCACAACATGGATATCTTAATGTTGAAAGAACTGACCATGATGTTAATAATTTCCATTCACCTTTTTATTTATTTATTTTGTATAAAAAATAAAATTAAAAATAATAAAAAAACTTACCATTATCAACATAATTAATCATATCAACATTTTCTGAACGATTGGTTAACATAACTTGTGTAGAATCATATGTCCATGAACCAAATTTTAGAAAACATACCTGATCATCAAATGGAAACCTTATTGGGAAACAAAAAGAAGTGTACTATTAATACATGTAAATTTATTTATTAATAAGAATTACCATGTAATATCTATTTTACAAGTTGATCGAAATTTAACAATAGGTGGCCAAAAAACAGTACCATCAGAACTAATCATTGCTAATGATTGCATATATCCTTGTGTATAATCATCTGCCGAATTATATAATACAATATCAGGTAACCATATATAACGGCAAGGTATGCGTATTTTTTTTAAACCACCAAAATCATCTGGATTCCATTGAAAAAAAACATCGTTCCATTCCTAAATTTATTCGAATTGATTTCATTTCTCTTCTCTTGATAAAACTTCAAAGGTTAAAGACACTTTTCTCAGATCCTATTGAATTCAAATACCCGCCTTTCTTCTATTGTTTTATCATGTCTCTTCTGAGCAATATTATCATTATTTATACAATTTGTAATTATACACCTACATATATTTTGTACTCGAAAACATCTAAGAGAAATTGATTTTTCGGTCTATGAAATCACTTAAAAGTAGTTAATAAAATCTCACTGTTTTTTTTTCTTTTATCTATATTATGTATTGATTCTATAAATAAATATGAGGACAAATATTTCTACCTGATCAAGCCAAATATTAGTTGTCATTATCTGATTTCGTTCATCCTAAATATAAATAAATCTTTCTATGATAATAATCATTTATGACTTACAATGTCCATAATTAATGTTAATGTAATACCAAGTTTGACGACAACAGTATCAGATGCTTTTTTAGTTGGTCGTACTGCTCTTTCATAGCCAGTCATTAATGTATAGAAGAGACGTTGTTCATCAGGCATATCATCAGTAATATTTGCCATACCAACAAATAATGATGAGGATGATAAAGAACTTGGTACTATTGCAGCAAGTGTACAACATTTTTTATGCCGTGAGAACATACATATTAAACTAGTGAGTATTATATGTGATATTGATAGATT